GTAGGGCATGCACAGACCTGCCTATCTGCAGCGAGCTGATTCGGTGTGTTCTGTGCAACTCAGGACCTCGGTAGGGCATGGGCAGACCTGCCTGTCTGCAGCGGGGTGATTTGGCGTCTTCCACGAGGCTCAGGACCTCGTTAGGGCATGCCCAGGTGAGACCATTTAAGAATTTTTTGAAAGCCCAATTAGGGAAGATTTGTCCTAACTGATGATACTCCTGTGGTGTTGTGAGAAAGGAATTATTATGTGTATTATCCCCATTTTAATGATACAGCTAGCAGAGGTAGTTTGCCTCGAAGTTCACAGTTCGTGTCTCCAGACCTCTTCAACTCAAGCCCCACTATCTTTCCAGCATGTCACATGATTAGAAATGGCCTTTATAAATTTGACACAGAGCCTACCTACCCCAAATACATACTCTAGTAGACCGCATGTCCAAGGGATTTGGAGGATTTTATAAAATGTGGTGTTTAGGGAACAAGGTTCACTGGGTCATTTATTTCAGCTCTGGTAAAGTTTAAGCCCTTGGATTGCCAGCACTAGGCACAGTCATTGCATTGCCCTTGGTGGCATTTCCACGGCTCTGCAGTTTCATTCATGAGTCAGAATGGTCAAGTGTATCAATGACTGTGGCTTTCAACCTGCAGCTACCAGGAGAGTGACTGGGACACCACGGGAGACCACGGACAGACAGCCTTGGGCTTCTATGCTGTCCACGCCGAGGGTTCAGACTACGGGGCCTTCCTGGGAAACTCACTCCTCCACACCAACATCTGCGGAGGCCCAAGAGGCCAGGAGCACAGAGAGCTTTCTAGAGCCTGCTGGGATAATGGCCAGGCCCAGCAGCCCAGCCCAAGCTAGCCCAAGCTCAGGTAAGAGGATGCTCGCTTCCACACCTCCCATTTCCAGTTAAATCTAGCACTGTCTGTTTCAAAAATCTAAATTTTGAAATATAACACACATGTATAATATAAGGGAGAAATATAACTAATGATCATAAAGCAAATTTTCTCTTCTTTTTCTTTCTTCTTCTTCCCCCTTTTCTTCTCATTTTTGACTGATTAGATGAGTGAATGGACACTTCCTCCTCACAAGAATCTCCCACCCCCTCTATCCTTTATGAAAACTCATGTCCAGATTTTCCTTTTCCTCATTTCTCTGTCCATTAAGTAGTGCCCAGGAGAAGTGACACTGTTTACTCCAGTCAACTGTCTTTCGGATTATGTTAATTACTTCTACATTATGTGTACACAATTTAACTTGACATGCACATTAATCACACGCAAACGTGTAAATAACATATAACCATGTAAGGAGAAAAGCTTCAATTCTCAAAAGTGGGAGAAGAGTTGTCGAGTGTGATTCATATATGTGTGAATGTATGTATGCCGACATGGTGCACACAGGAGGCAGTCTCCTTCACCTGAGTCCTGGTTTTCCCATCAGTGGACTGAAGATGCCATAGTTGCCATGATAGTTACAGTAGGGGATGCCTGCAAGGCACTGGGCTCAGTGTGCAGCACCTGGGAAACACTTAGTCAATGGCCCAACTGCTACCCTGCCCATGCCCAGTGCCACTGTGGCCAGAGGAGAGCACTACCTGCCTTTGGCCAGGGTCCCTTTCCTCCTGATCCTAGATTCTTTAGCCTTTAGTCAGACTGTTAATGGCAGTCACAGGTGAGTAGCTCTGCTGGGGTGTGGCCAAGGCTGCTCAGCTTCAGAACCACACAGAAACACCGTTGTGCAGCAAGCCTTAAGGATACTACAGAATGCAGGAAATGCAGAAAAGACGCAGGCTGGGTACAGTGGTGCACACCTGTAATTGCAGCACTCAGGAAGGCTGAGGCAGGAGGATAAGGCCAACCTGGGCAATTTAGTGACTTGACAAGACCCTGTCTCAAAACAAAACAATGAAAAGTTCTGGGGAGGCAGCTGGGTGCAGGGGCCCTGTGGAGCTCAACACTGCAAAACCCGCAGACCCCACACCAGGCCAGGAGGGAGGAGTTTTCCACCTCTGGGGTGTGGAGCCCAGGCTCTGCTGCCAACCCACTTCTCAGCCTCCCACCCCTCCTCCCTCTTCTGACTCCAGGCCCAGGCGGCCCCTTCTCCTCCCTAGCCCTCCAGCCACGTCACAGTCTAAACTGGGGCCTAGGGACTGGGCAGCTGTTCCTCAGTCTCACCCTCCTTGCCTCTCCTCCCGCAGTGACAGTGCCTACTTAGTCCCCTCCCCCTTGCTCCCCAGGAGAAGGTTGCTTCACTAGCTTTGCCAGTGGCCAGCCTCTTGACACCAAGGATGGGGTCCTGAAGTGGTCCTTAAACCAAGACTTTAAGAACATGATTTTTAAAAAATTGTTGAGCTGAGCCCATGGTCCATCATGAAAATAATTGCTTGGCCGATTACTGGATGGGGATGGGGTCTGTGTGTACACCAAGACTATTTCCCACTTGCCCAGAAGCCCCCTGCCTGCACACTTCTTGCTCCACATCTTTAATATGGTCCCTCTCCTGCACATCTTACTGACATCAGCTGGTCCCAGTGACGCCCATCACACTGTCCTACCCTAACTGAGGAATTTGTCTCCTCCCTTCTCTATACTCAGAGAACCTCCATGGTGGGCTCTGTTTCTTACTTATTTCCACATCCTTAGCACCCTCCGATACCTGGCTTAGTGAACACCGCTGGTTGGGTTGGCACCAAATGGGCAGCACAAGGCGTAGCGTCCAGTTCAGCTCCTCTTGAAGTGGTGTAGGCTCACGTTGCTCACTCTCATCCCAGGAACAGTCACGGCTAGCACGCAGACTCTGAGTCCAACCAAGGCACCAGCTCCGAAAGATCTGCAAACAGGTGAGAACAAACACACCACTGGAAAAAGCAACTCAAAGCCACAGGGGAAGCACACAGCATGGGGACAGGGACACAGAGGGGTGGGGTGTCAGTGCACGAAGGAAGCCAGTGATAGACCTTATTAATGAGCTCAGGAAAAGAGGCAGAAGAAGGGTTGATGAGCCTTGCTGTGCTGCTAAATTGCCTTGTTAAACTGGACAAATCACTTCCCCTTGGCGGTGAACTATTTGTCCCGAATGGTTTTGGATTCTCTGGTTGTGTTGTCTCATTTTGATCTGCAAATGGCTGTTCTTGCCTTGTGCAGGTGATCCCCCTGCAGAGTGGCTGCCCACCCCTGGGAAAAAGCCAGCCTGGGTCCTGGCTCTGCACCAAGCATCAAGTGAGTGGCAACATCCCATCATTGCTTTCACTCATGTTTATTCTGAAGGAGGTTGGGCAGTGTAACAAAGAGGGGTGTGTTTGAGAAATTGAGAGTCAGACGGCTAGGATGCAAATCTCAGTGCAACGACTGACTGACTGGTCAGGTGGCTTCCAGCATTCAGCTGCCAGGATTCAGTTTCTTCAGCTGGAAAGCAAAAAGTTTCAATTATGTGAGCACTAGAATCATGTGGTATTTTTTTCATTTCGGCATGGTTTTGTGTCAAGCAAGATAATGTGTTTGGTAGTGGTCTGGGATTGTGTGGCTCTGTGTAATTTAATCCAGTCAACTCTTCTTGGTTGAGCATCTGTAGGGCAGGTGCTGGGGCTTTGCATATGGCAGCGGCCACTAGGATAGGCATGGTTGCTGGCAGGGAGGAGAGGAAAGAACGACAACTCCAACCCCAGGCCCCAGTTGCTGGCTGTGATTTACTGTAGTTCTCTTGTAAGGGACACTCTGCTCACCCCATCCCTGCCTGCTTAATTTTCGTGGATCTAAGGAAAAAACACTGGGCCTGTAGCTGAGTTTTCAGCACCCCCTGAAACTTGAGTTTCTTTGGATTTTGCTGTCTCCACCTTTTTTGTATGTCTCACTGTCCTCTTTTCTGCTAGCCAGTTTCCCGAAGAAAGGACTTGAAACAAAGTGAGTCCTTTAAGGCTGGTTGGGTCCTCGGGCTCCTCCTCCTGCCTTTTTATACCAGTTTCCTGAATGCTCCGGACTGTTCAGTCATATGTCATCAGACTTTATTAAATTGCTGGAGCCCTCACAGTCGACTTGTTCTTATCGCCTCAGATCTCCCATGGCCTCTTGCAGCAGGCCGTGAATGGTGAATGGGGCTTTCAGACACTAAGATATGATTATGCCGCCAAAGGAAATTATAGTCCTTTCCCCAGGAGTTCTAGGCAAACACAACAGCAGTGCAGACAGGGGCTGGTGTTTGGCTGAGTTCTAGAAAACAAGCTGACTCTGTCTACCTCTACATCTACGTCTATGTCTACATCTACGTCTACGTCTATGTCTACGTCTCTATCTCTGTATCTGTCTCTCTGTCTCTGTCTCTGTCTCTCTATGTCTATCATCTACATCTGTTCATATGCATAACTATATCTAAAACCCTATCTCCATCTATTTATCCATCCACTCACTCATTCCTCCCTCATCTATTATCTCATAGATATGTCTTATCTCTATCCAGCTATCTATATCAATCTATGTCTACCTATATCTATCAATTTATCTATTTCCATATGTATCCATTCATCATCTATCTAATGAAAGATGTAATTACAAAATAAAGAGTTTGCTATCTTTAAATAAACTGTTCTGCACATCCACAAAAGTATCATCAATAGAGTCTTTTTTAATCACTCATTCATTCCTTTAATGGATTATTTCCTGAGTTCCCACTCTGTTTCAGACATGGTGATGGGATTATTTTTACCTTCTCTAATAATTCTGCAAGGTAGGTAACATTATCTTCATTATGCAATTCTGACGAGTCCTACAGATAAAGAGATGCAAGACTTTTTGTGTTGTTTCATGGTAATAAAGATTGAACCCAGGGGCTTGTGTACACTAAGCCAGCTCTCTACCATTGAGCTACAATGCCAGCCCAGACTGAGTTTTAAGCTAAGCTGCATCTGATTCTGAAGCCTGTGCTCATCTTGTCCTTCCATGTTACCTAACCCGAGATGTGGACTAGGCACAAAAACTGCAGTGAAAGGAAGAACGCATAAGGTTCATGCGAAAGGTAAACACCACATGCATTCAGAGAGAGGAGATGGCTGCTGGAGGGAGGGATCACTCCAGAGTCTGCCTGAGAAAGTGCCTCAGAACAACCCTGCCTTCCAACATGCACCTCTCAGAGGCTTAGCTTCAGCTTAGCTTCTGTGGCCCAGAAGCACTGAGGCTTCCTTGGACAACAGAGTCCTCTGTGGCTGCAGTTGTGATGGCTGAGAGCCCTGAGAGGTGAGGAAGGGCAGAATCACCAAGGTGGGCCACATCTCAAAGAGCACGGCCTCTTCTGAGGCAGCAGACAGCTGTGGGACTGGGTTTGTGCTGCAGAGGGATTTCTGGGGCTGCAGAGAGGAGAGGCTGAGAGCAGGGAAAGTGGTGAGGAAGCATTTGTGCTGAGGATGGGCTGGAGCTAAGTGACCGTGCAGACCCGGTGACTCAGGTATTGCTGAGAGACAGAATCAAGAGTACATGGGGACAGTGGAAGTGAACATCAGGAGGGAACCAAAGGTCAGACTGGACTGGAAAGACTGAGTGGACTTCCTGAGCATTGTTCCTGGGTTGGAGAAGGATGATGATGCAGGGAGGAGTGGGCTGTGGAAATCAAGCCTTGGAGATGTTAACTATGTTAATGCAGTAAAATACGGTGATTGGTCCATGGCCCCAGCATCAGGGCTTGCAGGCTGGGTTCCTGCTACATAAGGGAGTCAGATGCAGTCACTTGGGCCCTCAGCATCCTCTTCTATAAAATAGTACTTCAGATAGCTACATCCTAAGTTCTTATAAGAATTAAATGAGACAATACATATTTTAAAAGTTTAGGACTTGATTCTTAACAAGTACTCAATAAACATTAGAGAAAAATGTCTTGACACATTAATGGAAACTGATCAGTGTGCTGATGGGTTTAATGTTCTACTTGACTCAGGATAAAATGTTTTTGTGAAGTCTTCTCTAATATTATGAGCTCCCTTTCCACTTAATATATTACTGATAAATTATAATTTTTAAACTGTAAAAAAGACATAAAAATGTGGAATGAACACGTGTCAACATGTCAACGATATCATTCAACTCCTTAATTAAATAGGAAACCAGGAAGATGTTAACACTCATTAAATAGGAAACTTGATGAACAGGCATTTATAAACAAAACTTCAAATCAGTTCATTAACTGATATCCCATAGCTTGTAGCTATATCAATTGTACATTTATCAGACAAAATTTGTTTGTATTGCTATAGACAGGTATTATTTACATTGCTTTCAGACAAGAATGATGGCTATCAGTTGACCTCTACCCCTCCAGAGCTGTAAACTCTGTGTTTAGGATGTCAGTCAAAGGTCCACACCCTGTGTAATCAGATAATCTACAGAGGGTTTGCTAGACAATAATCAGAACTGCACTACAAGGACACCAGGTTTCCTTTTTGCCTACTCCAAGAGATAATTTTTCTCACAGTGATCATCCCCTTGGCTGTATGAGGATTGTTAATATCCTAACATAACCTGTAGGTCACCGTCATGTAAGCTCAGTGAGAGAAAGGCTGTCTTCCTTCTTATTCATTATTACATCTCTGGTGTCTATTAGCAGAGCTTGGCAAACAGTAGATGCCTCTTAAATTTTTAATAAAAATAATAGCTATTATTTATTGATCATTGCATGGCAGGAACTTGGTAGTATGTGTGTGTAAACTGAGTCACTCAATTTTCCCAGCCGCCCTATATAATGGGTATGTGTCTCTTTAGTTTCCACGTAAGGAAGCACAGGTATTGTCATAGGAAGCTGTCCCAGCTTTGGGAGATCCCAGAGATGAAATTTTTAAAAAATCTTCTCATTATTTTCTTTCTTCTCCTAAAATTCACATTTAAACAACAGTGAAAATCTGACTCACTGCAACATAACTAATCTTCAACAAATCCAGAGTCCAGTTCTACAATGGCTTGGCTTGCCAGGTTCATCTTTCACCTGCACTTTTTTCCCTCTTCTTTGCACACACTCAAGTGCGCACACAAACACACACACACACACACACCATACCCTTGGACTCATAGTATTCTCCACTTCTCCTTAGCAAGCCATCCCTTCCACCAGAAAGGCCCTCCACCTGATGCATTTGTACTCGACCTGTTAGATTCAAACATGCTCCTCAGGAAAACCACTTCTGATTTCCTCCAGGAAGCTGGTCCCTACCTCTTTACCTACCTCTTGAGACCCTCAAATTACCAATGATAAAGCCACAGTCTGTTTACTGCTGTCTCAGAGTCACCTGAGAGTAGGCAAGGGCATCTTGACCTGGCACAAACCTTAACCATGGAAAGATGTTTGCTGAACTCTTCTTGGTTTGACTGCTCTGAGGTTACATCTTCTAGGGTGTCCTCAGCCACTCCTCAAAGAGGGGACCATGACAGCTGCCCCCATCACCCTGGCTTTGCAGAAGCTCAACCCTTGCCTGATGGAGCTGTGTCGCTTCTTCCAGCAATGCCTCTGTGGGAGCCGGAGGTGGAATCCTATGACAGAGTCTGTGAGGTAACCGTGCTGCTTGCTCATTTTCACACCCAGTACTTATAGGCTCCTTATTCTGTGTGGCTTTTTCTGTAGGTCACAAGGTAGCCATACATCAAATTACCCACAGACAGGTGACAGGGGCTACCTCAAGGGATGGACTCTCCAGTGAGTCTTGTACTAGACTGCCCCTTTCTTGACAGCTACAATGGGGCCTGATTCACTTCTGTGTTTCCAGAACCAAATGCAAGGCCAGATCCAATAATTGCAGTTGAGCTCAGTTGAATTTGTGTTAAACTGAGTGAAGGTCAGTAGAACTGAGGGGAATTGTGTTGACTTGGGTAGAGCTGAGCTAAGTTGCATTGAGATAAACTAAACTGTGTTGAGTTAGGTTGTGGTGAAATGGGTTGAGTGCAGAGGAGTAGAGTGGAGTGAAGATGGACTGCACTGTGGCAGGTAGAATTACTAACCAGGACTTTGTTTATGTGTTTGTTTATTTGTTTTGGTACCAGGGATCGAACTCAGAACCTTTCGCTTGGGAGGCAGGTGGCCGAACCACTGAGCTAAATCCCCAGCCCACTTACCAGGGCTGTGAATGGTTCTTTTTTTTTATTTTTTTATTTTATTGGGACATTTTAGGTATACAATATAATGACTTTCATCATTGGAAATTTTCACCTTTACATAATCTCTCTTGGTTCTATTTTTCCCCCTTCCCCTGCCCTCCTTTCAACCCCTCCATCCCTCCCTATTTACAAAGACTTTGTTTCCATTTTTTCATTTTCTCATATTAATTCCATTCCCTCCTTTCCATTCCCCTACCCTCCCACTTCCCCTTCCCCTTTGGCCCTTTTCTTCCTATTTCACATTATATATTATACCTTTTAGTCCTTATTTACACTTTCAGTTCCTCACACTAGAGAAATGATTTGGTATTTACACGTGTGTCCTATTTATTTCACTTAAAAGTATCCCCTCAATGTGCATCCATTTAGCTATAAATGTCTCTAATTTCTCATTTTTTATGACTGAGTAGTACTCCATTTTATTTTTAAAAAAACACATTTTCTTTATCCAGTCTCCAGTCATTATTTGCAGATGACTGGAGATATTATATGCAGATGTGATACTCTATATAGAAGACCCTAAGAACACCACCAAAAGTCTTCTAGGCTTAATAACCAATTCAGTAGAGTAGCTGGATACAAGGTCAATGCACAAAAATCAATAGCTTTCCTCTACACGAATGACAGACTCACTGAGACAGAAATAGGGCAAATAATTCCTTTCACAATAGCATCCAAAAAACTGAAATACCTAGGAATCAACCTAACAAAAGAAATCAAAGACCTCTTCTCTGAAAACTACAGCACTCTGAAAAGAAAGATTGAAGACAATATCAGAAAATGGAAAGAGATCCCTTGCTCCTGGGTAGGAAGGATCAACATAGTGAAAATGGCCATCCTTCCAAAACTGCTATATGGATTCAATGCAATCCCAATTGAAATCCCAGCATCATACTTCACGGACCTTGTGAATGGTTCTTGAATCCCAATGCCCTCAGCCTGGTGACATCTTCTGGGACAGACTGGCCAAAGCACATGTCTGTCTAAACTGCAGCTCTCTCATAAATCCCAAGCAGTCACCAGACCGTTAAATGAGATGCTTGTTAAATAGAATTATAAGGCCGACAACATTATGAAGAAGGTCTAAACATGGACATTTTCCTACCCCCTAGATATTAATATACTATTCTGTCCTCTGGGATTTATTCTTGGCTGTAAATCCAGACCCAAACAACAAAGATGAATACCCCTGTGCCTGCGGTCTAGAGGCCAGTTCTCAGAGCTTTAATGTCATTTTCAAACCTGCTCATGAGATTCCTCAGTAAGTCCATTCTCTATGTCTTATGCCCAGGCTTACAACCTGTCTCCTCACCTCTTTTTGGCCTTGATCTCGAGTCCCTTAGACAATGTGAATGTTCTCTCCATACTGAGGGGTAATAAGCAGGATCAATAGACCCAAGGTGTGAGCAGCAAGGCTCAGCTTTCTCCATGGCAAAGCTGAGTCCTAAAGGAGAGGAAATCTTCAAAGGAATACTTCCTGTATTATCTAGGAGCAGCTCACTATATTAGATCTTTCTCTCACTCTTTAAATCAACAATATGTATTAAGTCTCTGTGGTATATCAGCCATGTACTACATTAAGCCAGGGAATAAAGAAGTAAATCATAAGTAGGTCCAGAAACTGAAGATTTCAAAGTTAGAAAAGATGGTCATGAACACAAAGTAAAATAGAGTTGGTGGTAAGCAAGTCTGGCACCCAGGCAAAAATCTGCAAGTCACAGCCCCTTGGAAAACATCACATTTGAAAATATCCACGTTGCAAATATTCATGAGATAATAAGTGAGGAAGGCAGAAATTTGCTGAGAGAAGCTTTGAACTTAAATTTATAGGAAGGAAGCATCTGTACAAACACTGAATGCCAGACAAGAATCTCATAGTGTAAATAGAGCCCTAAGAATGTTTGTGGAAAAGGTAGCCTTTGAGTCAGAATAATCCCCATTGTGTAGTGGGGAGGCTGGCAATATAAAGAGACAGATTTCAAGCCAGCCATGCCGAGTGTGGTAGCAAATCCTGAATCATATGCTGAGAGACCGCAGAGGAAATAATAGGGTGTGAGGGAGGAATGAGAGTTTCCCAGGCAGAAAACGTGAGAGGCAACTCCAGACCATAGGACAAGCACATGGGAAGATAGGATGGAAAGCTGAGGATTTAGCTCAGCGGTGCCACCTCCTGCCTTGCAAGTGCAAGGTCCTGGGTTTGATCCCCTGTACCAAAAAAAAAATATATGGAAGACAGCATGGAGCATTTTATGGTCACTGGGATGTTCAGTGTGACTGCAGCTGCAAGGGTGGACCCCTATTTCTGACAGGTATTCCTATTCAAAACAACCTCACCCTTTCAAGAACCTGGGTTACTTCTTTTTTTTTTTTACTAGTAATGATTGCAGTACATACAGTTCACAATCGTCTTGAGAAGTAGGTCCATGTACATAGTACACCTCGTTTCTTTTTTTAATCCCTTCCCCTTCCTTCCCTCCCTCCTCCTCTAATTCCCCTTCCCCATTTTCATTCTTGTTGATAGGATTAATCTCAGTTCATGTTTATGGCACATGATGTTTCTATTCATTGAGGTTATTAGGTTCCTGTACATGGCTTGTCTTCATTCTGCTCATTCCCCTTCCCTTGTCCTTTATCCTTGTTCTCTTTGACCCCTTCACATCTGCAGGAGATCCATTCCCATGTTTCCTTCTATCCATTCTTTATTAACCTCTTTGTCTGTACTTTGCCTTACTCAGATGAGATGCCACATGGTACAGTAAGGGGTAGAACATTTGACTGTGCCCGAGTTACTTCTTACAAGTTTCTTCAGGCTTTCCACTGTCTTGTTCAGAAACAATAAAACATGCAGGACCCCTAAATCCAGCCCTTCATTTTGTCAGTTCTTAAACTATGATTTCCTAAACTTCTTCCCCCACCCCCCAGTTCTCTCTCTCTCTTATAGCCCTCTCTTGAAAATTTTTCCTATGTAGGTTCTTTAGCATCATCCTTGGGACAAGCCTTCCCTCCTTGCAGGGTGCTTTCTGTCCTGGTGCCCACGTGGCAGTCACGTGTCCGTGGCTCCTGCTGGGTCCAGGATGTTTATGACTCTGCAGTGGCTTGGTGGCTCTGATCTGATCCAAACACCTAGCATAATAGTGGGTGCTCCAACAGAGTTTTAGATCTTCCTGGCCCTGCCATTGCAGTGCAGGGACAAGGGACATCTAGGCATGTTGTTTCATTCCATTTCATTGTCACACCTCCATCAGGCTAGGCAAGGATGTTGCCATCTTAATAAATAGTGGAGCTAGGACTAAAAACAAGTCTTCCTGCCCCAAAGTCTGAGCTCTTCCCCATCCAGCCTCTTTCCTTACCTTTCCTCTCAGACCCTACAAAGATGAACAAGGGTCCTTGCTGGGATAACTGGCCATGCCTTCATATTTACATAGTGACCCCTTTCATTCTGCCTGTCCCCTAGTAGCTGCACGGGACAGTGATTGCTCCCAACTCTGACTTAAATCTTAGGTACTGCCTGGAGTATTATTCCTGGTTTCTGAAGAACGCAACCTTCATCTGTCAGATGGTGAAGAGGGTATCCCACTCGCACAGTAAGTGCCCATCTTGACCCTGCTGTAACTACAGTGACACATCTCCCATGGGCCAGGGAGGTGCTGGGACCCTGAGAGCTTGTCCTGCCTCAGCTGGGATCTCAGGACCTCCACAGGTCATCTAGTCACCACTGAGCATAGACGAAGAGGGCCTAGGCAATGTCCGATTCTTCAGCCAACTGCAAGAAGGTTACCCTCCATGTGAACTCAGGCAAGATACTCAGCCTCTGAGCCTCCATGCAAGCTAAAAAGACAAGCAAAAGCAGAAGGGAAGACAAATCACCACATCAACACTGAAATTCCCACCCAACAGGAAATGTACAGAAATAATTCAGGGAGCAGAAACAGCATGAAGTCCTAGACATGGGATCTATGGTGCCCTGCCCCATCTCAATGGCTTCAAAGCCTCATCTACCCATAGAAATGCCTGGTGTCACCTTTGTTTCTTCCTCCTACTCCTACGAACAGAAGTGGCTTGTTGTCTGCTGGTCCCCAAGTCAATAGTGTGGTGTTTTACAGCGCCATCCACTTGGGCTATCTGGTCAGGGGGCTGTAGGACTCCAGAAATCACAGAATACATTGAACTCTGGAAAATCCCTTTTTAATGTAATCCAGGTATGAACTGGGTCCTCATATGGCCCGGTCTTGGTGATGTGTTACTGTTAATGAATAAACAAAAACCCAAAAAGTCCAGTTTAGTCTTTCTTAAGAAAGTCTTGCTCAGTCTTTCTTAATGGTTCTTAAAGGACATCAAATGGGATCCATGGGACCCACGCCAACATTGGTTAGGCGCTGTCCTCATTCTTTTCACCCTGAATTATCCTTGCTTCTCATAAGCTACTCTCTTCCAGCCTCTCCCTAAGCTTCACTTCCCAACCTAGCACTCAAAACTCTTAAAGTCAAGCCTCTGGTGCTTCTCATTGTTTCCAGACATGTCCCCTGCTTATTCCACTCCCTTCTCCCAGAGACACTGGGGATTGAACCCAGGACCATCACACTGAGCTACGTCCCCAGCCCTTGTTATTTTTTATTTTGAACCGGGGTCTCACTAAGTCTCTAAGTTGCCCAAGCTGGGCTCAAACTTTTGATCCTCCTGCCTCAGTTTCCCAAAGGGCTTGGACTATTGGCATCCACCACCCTCCCCAGCTCTGTCCTTCACTGTTATGCAGATTTAGCCTTTCACTTGTTCTGTCTTCTCTTTCTACCATTACCTTCACGAGGCCCTGCAAGAGCCAGGCATTGGGAGTGAGAGGTTGAGAAGCCAAAGAGAGAAAACCTTTCACTTGGTATGGGGAGAGGGAATAGAGCATCTCGCAAATACGTAAGTCAATAGCTTCTCTTTGGTCCTTGCCACACTAAAACCTCTATGTACACAGCTGATTACATTTATTGAATAATACATTAATAAGGGTAAATTAGTGTCTTGCAAACTGGGGAGATGAGTTAGATTTAACTGGGTATTGGGAAAAGAACAGTAAGTGAAGAATATAGAAATATGGGTGGCTCCTTCCTCCGTTCACTTGCTAAATAGCAAGGGGGTCCTGCATGAGTCCTTTTTACTCTGTAACTCACCCTGACTGGGGTCCTGGTCCCTGTCAGAGTTCAAGGCAAAGTCTCCAATGCTCCCGTCTCAGCACTCTGAACTCCTCCTTCTTGCTCTTCCAGCCTTGAAGCAGAAATGCCTGGAGAACATCTGCAAGTCAGTGTGAGGACCGAGCAAGGACTTCAGGCAGCAACTCTTCCCCTTGGGCTTGTCCCAACTCCATCACACAGGCTCCAGCTAGATCATCCATGGATTGAAAGTGTTTCTTTTTGGAAGTTGTCCCTTTTTCTGCCCTTTGGACCTGTGTACAGTATTGAAGGTAGAGGCCTCACGATTAATGCAGTGACGCTGTACTCCCCTACCTGCTTCAGTCATGGGAACCTAATGTCTATGCTCAAGAAATCCCTATAATGTTTGCAACCATTCAGTAATGGATAATCAGGCAAGGGTGTGCACACTTTTCCAAACACACCAGTCCAACTCAGAAACTCTGACACCATGCCTGCAGTGACTTAAGGGCAGGACTTCAAAGGATAAATTGAAGAGAAAAAAACTGAATCTATACTCTGGAGAAAAGCACATATGATTTTGTTATTCAGTTAACTAAAACTGTATTATGCACAACTAATCTGACTTGCCATACTACAGGATCTAGAGAATCTTTCAAACCCTTAGGTAAGAGATGATGGAAACTTTCATCAGAAGGAGGCGTAGAGAGATGTCTCAGCTGACATCTTGTCTCCATTCCTCTTCTGTGCATCCCACTGCCTCCAAGGTCCCCAAGAGCATCCTCTGGCTCAGTGATTCACTAGTGAAAACAACTGCTGCATTCATACTTACCGCTTACTATAGCAAAGGGATGCAGAGACACCTGCAAATGTAAAAGGCATGAACAGCGGCACCCAGGAGAGCCCAGGCACAAGGCCTCAGGGCTCTTCCCTCCCTGGGTGACACAGCCTGCACTTTCCCCCCTCAGCAGTGTGCATGGATCATGGTCTCCCGGGAAGCACATGAGCCTGGAGTCCGAGGGTTTTATTAAAGGCCAGCCATGTAGGGCTGGAGTGCCTGTGTGGCTGAACTTGCTCACTCCAGGTCCAGCGCCTCCTGAAGTCAAACTGATGCTACAGGATCAAAGAATCTGCTTGCTCTCTTTTTTAGGTCAAGTCCCTCGTCACTATTTCCATGTCTGCTGGTGCTCCAGTTCAGATAGCAGGCTCTGTGAAAGCATTACTAGGCAGGTGCTGTTTTCATGGATCCTTTTTTCCTTCCTCGCCAGGGAGAGCTTTGGTCCTGGTGTGCCTGGGGATCCACCTTAACACTCTGCCCAGGCCTCAGTTTTCTACTCCTTGGTGATCTATGGTGGCCCTTTGGTGAGAAAAGTCACTTTCTGTTCAAAATCCAAGTACAAAACAGGACGTGTGAGTGTCCTGGCCCTATCTATGTAAAAGGCAGTCTCTGGGGAGGAGTGGTTAGGTACCTCCCTGCCAGTTCACTTCGACAGCTTCCTTTTTAGTTTCCAGAACACCAAAGAGACCCTCAAAATTATCCAATGTCTAATTCATAGACACTTGTCATCATGACTTTGGGCCCTGCAAAAAGCCCTTTAGTCTGCAAAGATGAGGTGGACACAGCAAATTTTCCAGGGCAAAGAGACTCCTTCCTGGATCAAAATAAAAGGAACAGTCCCTTTCATTAGGCATGGATGACTCTGATGAGAACTTCCTCATGGAAGAAGCTGATATTAAGGACCGTGGGTTGGCAAGGATACCTTGGTTCTTACAGAGTAACTTATCACAGGGAAGTGGGAGGACAGACTGCTGGCCTGGACCGAAAAGCAATGCTGTTTGCTCAGGGTCAGCCCATGTACACTCCACTGCCCCATTCTTTGAGATAATGACTGAGCGAAAATGTGGACAAGGGTCTGACCCGGCATTAGGAGCAAAGGCTCCGAGCACAGGAAAAATCGAGTGGGACCAGCTTTCTACCACCATGCCACCTGTCACAGCGGCAGCCACGGCAGGGCTAACCAGGGCCACAGCGTAAGGCGATCATCAGAGTCCACCCCCTTCCCTGGGCCCAAGGTGGGCCCCTCCTGAGCTGAGTACTTCCTGACTCAGGGCCAAGGGGAGGCCTCTGGGTGACTGCAGCTTGAGTTCCAGTTCGTGCCTGTGCAGCCAGCATGGCTTAACAGATGCGCTGGGAGGTGGAACCACTAGATGCTTCACTGGTGGAGGTGACTGTGTGGTCTCATACGTCATGTCATGTCTGCAAGTCACCTGCAGGTGCATTTCCGTCTGTTTCATTCATCCCCGCCAAATGAGCTCTGCTGACAAAGAAAAGAGGGAGGGCTGAGAGGGAGATGGATGATGGGGAGAGGGAGAGGAGGAGGGGATGGAGAATTATGTCAGTGTCTCTTGCCTGCTGGCTGAGTCTGAGTTTATGGTACTTGTGTCTCCTCTTTTCTGCACAGGCCATGGGGTGGGGTTTGTATGAGTGACGGACTCAGCTGCTCTTGTGATAAAATCTGTGATTTTCAATTCTCTTTTCTAAAGGCCTGAGTTCTTGCGAAATTGGACTCTAACTCTGTTCCACCAACAGAGAAGGGAAAGCTGCAGGAGCGGGGATATTAGAGGCCAGTGCCTCACAATCAGGGCCAGCTCAGCCACCCAGGGGACATTTGGCAAAATCCAGGGACATTTTCTTGCCACAGCTCAGTGGGGTGAGGGCTGGGGAGTGCTGATGGCATTCAGTGGGCAGAGCCTTCATGGCTGAGAGGTGCAGGAGAGGACCCACCACAGAGAATGATTTGGCAAAACAGGGTAACAGTGCTAAGGTGAAGACAGCTGCTTGGTGTGGGCTCTGAGGAGAAGCCTCCCACACCCACAGAAGGCCTAGAGGGGGCTCCCTGGTGGGTTGTGACTGCACCTCAGCACTGTGCGGCAGCTGAGCCTAGGAGACACATTGTGCACACTGAACCACGTGTGCCCCTGGGCTCCACAGCCCAGAGGTGGTGTCCCCTCGGGGCACGGGCAGGACCAGTGCTGAGCAGCCTCGGTCCTCAAAACAGGAGCGGCCTGGGCTGCCTGCAGCAGGTAAGATCTGCAGACTGGCGCCCTACCACACTCAGAGCTGTTGTCTCAGAGGCCTTTCAGTGCAGAGGCTCGGCCAGGCTGGGGAGCTGTCTGTGAGCCCCACTTCTGCAGGAGACGGTGATGAAACCGCGGCCCAGAGGTTTGTGGCCAGTGCCCAGAGGTGACCCAGGGCAGGGGAGGTTGGACAAATGCGTCAGGCATGATGGTACCATTGTTCTTGCCATAAAAGGGTCCCCAAGGCTCCATTTCTCCCAGGATCACAGAGCAGCCAGCGATGGTCTGACAGCCAGCCATAGAATGGCAAGGGCGGGTCCTGGAAAGCATGGTGAGAAATTCGTGGTACATGCTAGACACCCAATAAAGGTCGGTTCTCTAAGTTCAAGAGCAAAAACCATTCACAAGGGGACATGGAGAGCAGAGGAGAGGAACCCGGCCCAGAAGAGGCCTACACCACTCATTGCACATAGCTATCTCCCACCTCACAGACTGCACCCATTTAATGGATTAGGAAGCCAACACTGAGCAGTGAGGGGTTCGAGGTCACACTGCTCTCCACAGCAGGGCTGGCAGTGGGACCTAAGACATCTGATTATGAAGCCCTCCTCCATTCTACCCCTTGACTGGGCAGGAAACCTCTAAAGGAAAGAGGCATCAAATTCCCAGGTCCAAGGTCAGGAGCACATAAGAACCATCCCAAAGAGCCTCCTGATGAACAATCAACTGGGACAGACAAAGCCAGCCCTTTCTCTGGCAAGGCAGCCCTGTGACTTGCACCATCTTTCATCCCCCAGAGTTGCCTGATGGCCTGAGACATAATCCCTGAGCCCGTGGGTCCCTGCGGCCAGGTGGGGAGGTGGGGTGGCATGGAACAGGGCTGCCATTGTTCTCTAATTAGACCCGTCTCCTGCAAGGCTCAGGATGGGCCTCTCACTATGCAGCCTTCACCTGTGCCAAGCCATAGCATTAGGGGGCCTCCCCTCACCAGCCTTCCTGAGAGGCTGTCTCCTTGATGGGGTGGGCGTAGGTCTCACATGACCAGGGGTCTTTCCTTGATATATAAAGGATTCAGCCTCCATCTGCTCAGAGCCTCACATCGCTGGTCCAACAGTCTTTGAGTCACGCCGCACGGTAAGCAAGCTCCTGTTTCTCTTGAAGGTGTGGGAGCCGGAGGGAGAGGGATGGAGATGGCGGGGAAGGGAAAGCGGGGAGGGAGGAATGCAAAGTTAAGTGGATGGAGGATGAGAAGTACAGAACAAGAGGGCAGAAATGAGGAAAGAAAAGTGGAATGGATGGTGGAAGAGAGGGAGGCAGGAGGGAGGAAGGGAAGGGGAAAAGGGAGAGATAGAGAGAGAGTGGATGTAGGTACGGAAGGAGCCAGATAGGAAGGGAGGAAAGACGACCTTCAGGACTGTTGGGGCCCTGACTGTTACTTCCGGTGTGGCCGGAAACCCAGCGGCACCCTGAGCTCTTGCCTGAGGAGACAGGCTGCAGGCGGAGAGCACCTGGCTAATTTCCCTGGGGGGAAATCCCACATAGCACATCAGCAAGGGTCCTGGAAACCTGAAGCCCAATCTGACCCCAGGGCCCTGGTGTGGAACTCCAGTCGTCCCCCCAGTCACCCCTCCCTGAGCTCGGAGAGCTACAGGGCTTGGCGTTCTGCCTCAGCCAGACGGGTCCCGCTTAGTCTTCACAGCGCCCTGTTGGAAAGACACCTCTGGGCGCCTGTTGGTGGCCAGGGAAATGAGCTCCAGGCAGTGAGGCGCATGGCTCTGTACCCCACAAGCAGAGACATAGAGAAAAGGCCAGGCCTGGGTCCCTCTCCCCCCTACAGGGACAGCGCTGCCCAGGACAGCGCCTTCCAGCTGGCCGCAGCACAAGGGCACTTCACCAGGCCAACAGAAGGGCAGGGATTTTAGCAGCAGCCTGCAGGACTGGCCACGTGCTGCCACCTTGTGGCTGGCACCGGGACTCCTCTTTTCTTGGCTCAGCAAGGAGTTTTTACCTCAGGATCTTCCCCATTCAGGGAGGAGCTGGCCACTCCTGGGTCCTCCCGAGCCAAAGTCCCCGATAATTGTGCTGCATGTACAGAGAATGAGGACTAGGCTGCTTATTTGGGATCGCCTGGCTGGCCAGGAAGCTTAAGGTAGCGTCCACGGAGCAGAACCTTAAATTAGATTGGCCTGGAGGAGCTCAGCTGGAGGCCTTGCTCACGGATTGCACGGCGCCCCTGCAGCAGAGCCCCTTGCGGCAGTCGGCCGGTGGGTGGCGCTCTCTGCCCTCAGCCTCGCAGCCCAGCTGGAACCCAGGCAGCTGAGGGGGAAGCCCCAGGGTGCCTTTCCTAGACATGTGCGGGACGTGCTCTTGGGGAAATCCAACACGAAGAAAAAAAGACCTGATAAATGCAAGAAACAAGGTCCTGAAGCCTAAAGATTCTTTTTAAAAATTTGTGGCACAATATACATACATAGGACGAAATTTACCATCTTAGCCACTTTTCAGTGTATAGTTCAACCGCATTACACTCGCATACTCGAACAACCGCACCTACCATCCTCTGTCACAACTTTTTGATATTCCCCAACCGAAACTCTGATCCCATTCAACAAGACCCTATTGGCCCCACCCTATAAATTGCTTTTTAGCCAGGAATTTAGGTCAGTTGCACTGCACCTGCCTCGTAAAGGCAAGGTCCTGAGTTCGATCCCTGGTACCACCAAAAAATAAATAAATTGCTTTTTAAAAATAAACTGCAGCAGAGTCAAGGTTGTCTGTATTCAGGCCACCTTTGCTCACTCAAGTCCAACAAGCAGGGCCTCAGCCCATCTTCTCCGAGCTCCGGGGAGACCCCGGGCAGCGGCCACCCTCAGATTTGTGTCGCAAGAGGAAAAGGGCAGGGCTCCGCTGCAGTAAACCAAGCCCTCCTTCATTCCTCAAAGGCGAGGAGGGAGCAGCACTGAGGTCTTCGTCTGGAGCACTGCTACTCACGGCGCCTTTACCTGTGCCAGGGGCCGAGACAGCAATTTCTAACGCTTTACAGCAGCCTCTCCGCGTTGGGTCCTGCAACCAGAACCTCGCGCACGGACTGACTCACCCTGGCTCTCAGCAGCCTCTCGGGTAGGGGCTGTTAGTGCACTGGCACTGGGCTGGGAGCCAAGAGCCCTAGGAAGAGGGGCACTCTTGCCACCTTTTCTAGCCTCTGAGCCTCAGTGATCTCATCTGCAAAGTTTGCATTTGGACTAGATGATGCCCACACCCTTCCCCGGCCTTCCCTCCACTGAGACAGTGACAAATAACCCATGTGACAGAGCAAGGGCCAGGTACTGACTGAATCGCCCAAGGCCACTTTGGCCGCAGTCTCGTGGGGCTGACTTCGCAGGGGTCGCTGGCTCCTCTGAATGGCCTTCCAGTGTCCGTCATTGAAGTCCCCAGGGGAGGCCACTGTCCACTGGGGCTCCACGTGCCTCACGCTTCCCTGGCAGCCTGGTTTCAGGCCTGAGAATAAGTCACTCAGAGCTGAATCTCCACAGAGTAATCAAAGAACCTGTCTTACCTTGAAAGTGAACCTGATTTAGGAATTTGTGTGGCTAAAGTAGATTACGAGCAGAGGGTTGAGCCCAGGGAAAATCGGACTGCCGGATTATGAAGGAGTGCCCGAGCTGAGAGAGACATCCAAAGATCTCACACCCTCCCCTCATTCACTCAACAAAATTCATTTTGTAGCCACCAGAGGCTGCCGCGCTCGGCCTTGGGATGGGTTCAGGAGCAGCGACCCTACAGTCCATGGTGTGTTTCCCCTGACTCACCTTCCCCAATACCAAGCCCTACGCATGGCCGATGGGACGATGGCAACCAGGACTCGGGGCAGCCTTACCTCCAGGATAACGCATTTCAGAAAACGCTCCCTTCTCCAGCTTGATGGAGCTCTACAAGGGGG